TAGTCTTTTTGCTTGTTTGGAATTTTGTTTCATACCTGGCTGAGTAGCGGCTCGAAGAGCATTAGGCAGCCGATTCACCTTTCTCATGATTTCTTTCCACGACTTGTCCACCTGAAGGAACATCTTGGACTCTGCAGGCAATTGCCTCTGAATATCTGGAGCACTGAAAATACTTTCTAGGTAGAGCCAGTTTCTTTGGCAGGTCAGCCACTCTTCCTAGGAGAAAAATACGGACATTGTCAAATTTTAATTCCCCAATTAAAAACATACGGTTACAGTAAAAATCATGACACAGGGAATCACTGTATCTTTTTCCTTGAGGGTCGTGTTATGACTCCTCACAGGTCATTTGAAATTAAATTCCTTACAAGGTCCAAGATTCACCTTAGTCTGATTTCATCCCACTGTCTACTGAGCAGAGTTCTAATGGGTCTTCCATGTGGTTACCAGAATGGATCCAGAGAAACATGATTAAAATTACCCACAGGAGAGATTCAGGGGCCAGCATGATGCTTACGCAAGGAGATGTGAAGGGAAAAGGAAAGTCTGGTGACCATTTTCAAACATAAACAAGATTTTCATGAAAAAAAGTTTGTTTTTTTCTTTTATCTCAATCATGTGTTAATTCTTCCTTCACCTTTCTTTAAATAATGAAAATTAAAAAAAAAAACAAAAAAAAAACCCTGCTCATGACAGCATATGTGGTAAATATAGAAGACTGGAAGATGAAAATCATACATTCCCTCTGCTTTTAGACAAATCACTGTTAATAAAAGAAATCAGAAATACAGGGTCAGAAATTAAATGTCCATAGATCTCACCTGTCCTCTGTGCCTCCTGCTATTACTGCATGTGTGCGCCCAAAATCCATGAAAGAGTTCCTCACTTCTCACTCTAGGTTTGGGAGTAAGCCCAAATGTCACAACCACTTCCTGGTTTGTCTTAGGTCTCACACTGTCCAAGCAATTCATTCTCTGGGGGGTCTTCACTATTCAGCTTAGGTTTCTTTCAGGGACCCTCTATGAAAACGTCCCCTTTGACTTTGATCTGTAGTCCCTCCCTTCACAGGGCTCAGCCATCAGTCCAGGAGGCTGGACAGGACTCAGACAATGTGGTTGGTTAAAGAAGATGAATTTCTGAGAAAGTTCTCTTTCAAACAAAGTTGACGCAAGTTAACTTTTCCCTCTTACTGCCTTTATTATTTCATAGATAACTTCTCATATTAGAATGTCTAGAAACCTAAACATAATTAAGTCAAGCTAAATATCTGAAGTCTAAGAAAGAGATTGGATGGGAACAAAGTGAGATTAGTGTAAGTGGGTTTTTTGTTTTGCTATGGGACAATCAAAGGTGGAAAAAAATCAAAAGGGCATGTGCACCACAAGGAGAGATTCCAAGGAGACTTCAAGCAACAATGAGCATTCTTCCAGTAAATAGAAAGTCATTGCAGCAAGACTCATAAGGTGGCCCCCAAGATGTGGCATTCACATTCCTGTGTAATCCTCTCCCCTTGAGTGTGGGTGCCATCTGTGACTTGTTCCCAGGCATATGGGATGTGGCAAAGGTAACAGAATGTACATAATTGTGTTTATGTTATATAAGACTGTAATAGTCATCTTGCTAGGATCTTTTTCTTCCTTGCTAGATTGATGCAGCCAATGGTCATGATCACATAAAGAAAAAAATGTGGGCAACATCTAGGAGCTGAGGATGGCCTCCAGCTGAGAGCCAGCAAGAGATTGAAGCCCTTAGCCCAAGAATTCCCAGAAAATTAATTCTGCCAACAACTGAGTGAGCTTGGAAGTGGATCATTCCTCGGTTAAACTTCTGATGAGAACACAGTCTGGCTGACATCTTAATTGCAACCTTGTTAGACCCTGAGCAAGAGGCCTCAGTTAAACCATGCCTGAACTCCTGAGCCACAGAAACTGTGAGATAACAAAGGTATTGCTTAAGTTTGTAGTATTTGTTTCACAGCAAAATGATAATACAGGCATGCTTTGTTTTATTGTGCTTCACTTTACTGCACTTTGCAGATACTGCAGTTTTTATAAATTGAAGTTTTGTGGCAACCCTGCATCAAAAAGTTAATTCATGCCATTTTTCCAACAACATGTGCTTACTCTGTCTCTGGGTCACATTTTGGTAATTCTTGCAATATTAAAAATATTATTATTAAACATTATTATTATTATATCTGTTATGGTGATCTGTGATCAGTAATCTTTGATG